CGTGTTGCGTGACGGGAACTCATGCTCGACCGCCTGCTCGGATTGCGGGAGCCCCTGCTCTACCGCCAAAGTGTTAACAACCTCGCTTCGCAGCGAGGGATTTTCGCGCAACAGCGCTGTGCAAGACATACAGAGAGGGCCATCGCTCGCTCTCTGCTCAACCTGCATTGTGGACAACCGGTCCACGACCCTGACATGGGGCCAGTCCTTCTGGGCAACCAGGAGGTGTGTGAACACCTCACTCACATCGAAGCCAGAGCGGTGTTTAACCGACCGAGCCAACCAGTCAATCTCTAGTTGATATCGTGACTACCACGGGATACACAAGATGCAGTCGAACGCGTAGTTCATCTCAATCACGAGGAAGTCGTCGTTGCTGCGGAAGCCGTCGAATGTGTACGGCATCGTGATCTCGCGCCGCGCAACGCGGCGTGGCTTTCCGTCAGCAAGTTTGACGACGACCTGACCTCGACCATTACGGACTGCGATCTCTCTTGGAAGCATCGATAAGCACGATTCACGAAAGAAGTTATTCGACGCTCCTGAGTCCAGGAGTGCGCGAAGTGGTCGCCGGGCGCCGGCGACATGAAGACTGACGATGATCAGCCTCGAGTCGCCCGACGTGGTGGTGGCATTAAAGTGTCCGTGGAACACGAGGAGGGCTGCAAGGTTGGGTAGCCACCGGGGGACCCGGACCTCCGTTCCAGCCAGTAGGGCGCCCCGCACCTACTGGCCCTGACCTTTTTTTGACTGAACGGCAGGTGAGACTTCGGCGGTGTGCGCGAATACCGGCGCTGGCGCGCGCATTCCGCCGCGCGATGACCGATCTTCCGGCAGCGGAAGCAAGTGAGCGGGCGATTAGGACGGTCGTTGGGCCCACGAGAAGTCGACTGACGGTGACTATTCGACGCGTCAATCGCGTCGATCTCCATGGGCTCGGGGGCTGACTCACGAGCTGCCGTAGACGTCGCGCGCGCGTAAGACGCCGCCACTACGTAGTCTTCGCGTAATGCGAGGGCGAATGCTTCCTCGAGCGAGGAAGGTTCCGCTCGGGTCAGGCAGTACCGTGTCATGCCTTCACGCATGCCGAATACGAATACATGGACCTGCGATGCTGTGTCAATCGGATTTGTCACGATGCATGACGCGAGGTGGCCAGTCTTTTGAACGTAGTCGCGCATAGTCATTTTACCTTGACGAAGGGCGAAGAACTCGGCACGCACGCGGGACTCGTCTTGAGGGGGCTCGAACGCGAGCCTGAGATCTTTCTGGAGGGACTCCAGAGTGGGGAATGCGTCGTGATCAACGACAAGTTTACCGAGGGCCCATTCCTTGGCCTTCCCAGACAACCGGGACAATAAGAAATTGACCTTTGACCCTTGCGCTTCGATCATTCTCGAAGCAATCGCGATGTCGACCTCGCGAAACCACCGGTTCAGCGGGAGGCGATTCGCTCCTTCACCGGAGTAGGTAGACGTCTCTAGCTTCACGACATCATTTTTCGAGGAACGCGCGGGAGTTGTTGCTCGCCGATTCGCATCGGCTAGCTCGCGTTCCATGAACTCTTGGGCTGCTTGGCGTTGTTGGTCGGACGTCGCTGAGCTCAGCAGCGACGCGATTACAGGCTCACCAGACACCGCCGCGAGGCGGTGAAGGGCTTCCCACTCGACACGAGTGAGATGAGAGAAAGCAGCATGTTCCAGGGTCGGCCCTGGCGTTTCAGACGTCATGCCTTAGCTCATCGTGAACTTGGTCATGGGAAGGACTACTAAGTGCTACCAGGTGTAGCGGGCCTGGGGTGTCCGTTACTTGCTTACACGTAGTGATGAGGAAGCGTACAAGTCCAGTGATACTGAAACCAAGTACTTAGTCTGAAGGAAAATCAACTCTGTTTTTATTTAGGTCCAGGGCAGCTTGCCCTGACCACTCTAATACACGTCAACTCCTTATTGGTTGATTATGGGTCTGGCTCCCCATATTTCAACCAATAAGGTGACGGCAGTTCAGCACACGCTACTCGTGTGCTGCTGCACCTACTTTTGTAATGCAAATCTACCTACTTACGTAATGGTGTGAACCACTACAAAGAACCTATAAAACTACCTACATATGTAACTTGGGAGAGCCCATTACAGCTTTGCTGCCCTCGTCTAGGGATGTCGTCGCTACGACATCCGAGGCACTCGTGGCCTCGTGTAGTACTGTGGTACCTACACAGGAAGCGTGTTCAACGCCTTCCTCTTCAGTTAAGGTCTGGGCGACCGCGTGTGGCACTGTGTTACCCACACAGGAAGCGTATCCGACGTCTTCCTCTTCAGTTAAGGTCTGGGCGACCGTGAGTGGAACTCTGTTACCCACTCTGAACACGCTGTTCTCAGTGTTCGTGACAGCTGCAGCTGTCTGCGGAGCTAAGTTACCCGCCTATGGACCTAAGTTACCCACTTGACCAGCGCCTCTTCTTGGCGCTCCCACCATCAAAACATCCTCGGAGTCGTCACATACGTCGACGACTCCCAAGCATCTGCCGGATACTTTGGTACCCTGGCGGCCCTTGCGGGCGCCCCGGGTCCTGACAGAGGTGGGAACATGACTCACCAATGCTCTGTCGGACTGCGCAGGGCGGCTGGCACCGATTGCCTTGCCTCGCCAGTCGATCCAGGACTCGTGCTTCTCAAGCCAGGGCATGCCCAGGATCATATCATATGGATCCATATCGAGAACAGTGAACTGTTCGAGGCTGTCAAAGTCTTCAAACTTGACGACCAGATCCACTTGGACATTGGGGACAGTGACGACCTTCCCGTCGGCCAGTCGCACTGACACCGTCCCGTTGTCCTTTCTTTCTCTCAAAGCATCGGACAGCTTGTTGCTGCTACGAGCAACCGTCTGGTGGCGTGCGAAATTCTTCGACGCCCCAGAATCGATCAAAATTCTAAAGGGATGATCATATCCCCGTACACATCCGTGTACTACGAGCAACCCGCCGCTGCTCTTCGCCGATTCGAGATTGCGAAGACTCTCAGGGGCTAAGTCCCCGTGGTACGCGCCACCCGCGCACTCATCACGAAGACTTAGTTCTTCCCCAGTAGGGCGCCCCGCCCCTACTGGTTCCCAGCGTCCCCCTGTCCCCGGAATCCTGGCTTCTGCCAGCGACCCTTGAGGACGGGCTTGGGGAAGGACCGTCTGCGGAGTCTTTCCGCGGGACAGTCGCGCTTGAAGTGGCCCATCTTCCCGCAGCCGAAGCAGCGGATGTCACGCTGTTCGGCGGACCCGAGCTCCATGGGAACTGGTCCGTTGGGGCTTGTTCGACCGGGAGCCGACAAGGAGCTCCCAGTCCATGCTGAGATCGGCGTACGCGCCTGGCGATGGCTGTACTCTTCTTGAAGAGCCACTTGAATCGCCTCTTCAAGGGTGCTTAACTGCATTCGGAACAGCTGAGTGCGTGCGGGGCCCACTCGAAGGCCGTCCATGAACACAGTCATCTTGATGTGTTCGTTGAGTGGGTTTCCACTAGGGACGCCGTGAGCTCCCGTATCTCTTGCACATACTCGTGCAGTTCGCGCCTCCCTTGTTTACACGCGAGGAAGCGCGAACGCTGGCGGTACTCGTAGTTCGCCGGGAGGAACGCGGCTCGGAGCTGTTCGCACAGCTGAGCCCAGGATGTGAAACATCCAGGGGATGTTGCTTCCCGTGTGTACACCCAACTCTTAGCACGGCCGCTAAGGTTGGAGAGTGCAAAAGCAACACGCAGTTGCTCGGTCGAGATCAGAGCCGCGTCCATCGCGAGCTCTACTTCTCGGACCCAGAAGTGAAGGTTCTTTCCTTCCTTCCCTTCATACGGCTTAACCTTCAGCCGTATTGGCTTCGGGTGAGGCGGATTTGCTTCCGCCGCCGGAGCCTGCAGGTTCTCCCGCACATGCGCGATGAGGCCCTGCTCGTACGCGTCGAACGCATTGGCGCGCTCGAGCTGCTCAGCCGGTGTTGACACCACCAGGCTCTGCAGGGCCTCCATCCCGAAGATGCCTGCCATCTTCCGAACGACTCGAACTGAGAGTCGTTCATATGGGAGAAGTCGTTCCTATCCATGGCAACGAACTTCGGAGAGGTTCAGGTAGTCTACTCGCGGTGGCGTGGATTAACTACTAGTGCTACCAAGTGTGACTGGGTCACACAGCACCTTGCGCTAGAGGAAATTATCTTCCGAGAGTATACAAACTCTCAGTGAACGGCAGCTCACAGGTCCCCTCTTTATTTAAAAGAGAGCGAAGTGACCTAAATAAGGTAGATTGTAAACTGAGCATATTTATAGGTAGATTAAGTTTGGGTTTAATACAAACTATATTGGCTTTGAACGACCTTGGTACTTTGTACCAAATATCCCGGAGTATGACGTGTCATACACCTGAAGTGTGAAGTGTCACACTTCATGTAACCAGGGTACACTTAGGGCTACGTACCCCGTTACAGACCTTGTTTCTGTGCCTGTACAATACTGCACCCCGTTTTCGTGCCCTTGTACCTTTGATAAGCTTCCGGATATGATGATCCTGAATCCAAATGAACTGAAGTTTGTTTGGTAAACTTTGATTTATTTGCAAATCCTATATGGTCCACCCCCGCGAAAACGGACTGTACCAACCTGATAGCAGCTATTTCGAAGTATTTTTCTGCGAAGCTAGCTGCTCTTGTCTCCCCCTGTTCCTGAAATCTGTAGACGTCGAGAGTACGGGGTCAATCGACTGATTCTCGCGGCTAACTGAGGTTTGACGAGGCACAAAATGTAATCCGAACTCGCGATGAGTTGTCCCCAGGTCGTGTTACTTATATGCCGCTTGAAAGTGCTCGGACCACGGGAGATGCGGCTTATCCTGCTGTAGGAAGGTGTGCTATTGGCGGATGTTGTTTCCAGTGTTGCGCACGTACGCAGAGCGAGCACTACTGTACGTGCCGCGGGCTCAGGCGCGACAGCAGCTCCGACAACCACAAGTTGATATGAAGAGTGACGGTCAAATGCTTCAACTTTTAGTCGGCAAGATGTAATTAATGAGCGGTCATGCGCTCGTAATCCTGACAGCCCCCGCTGCTTGTCACTCATCTCCCGTCTTCTTCCACTAGCTAAGAGCCGTTAGTACGGCACGTACTCAAGCTTACGGCAGTTGTTAAACTGGGTGGCAGTATTTGACACAAATTTTGCCAGCGGATCAATACCTGAAAAGTTTTTCCACTGCTCGAACGTCCTCTTCGTGCCGAGTGTGAACTTCTCCAGGTCTGTGCGATCGAAATCTTCCTTTGTGACGGAAAGTCCAAGGTTGTAGCGAATGCGGCGCTTGGACGGCTGTTGTATTACATAGCGCTCGCCCCAGTCACGCTCCCACACGACTTTCCGCTTCTCGTACCAGTGGTAGGCGATGTCTTCTGACGGCACGTAGAAGTCGTAGCCGGCAGTCCAGAGCCGCGTAGCGCGCGAATACTCCTCGCCATGGAACAGGTACGGTGTGTATGGGTCGTTGCGGACCTCCTTCGCCTGCTTGCAACCTCCGAAGTTGAATCCTCCAGCGAGCTGAGACATCAGTCGTGGCTTCGGCGTGTCCTTCTTGTTAATCCACATGGGGGCTGCGTACTGCACCATAGAGTCCGGGTCCTGCGTCTCGATGCGGGACATGCACATGAGCTGCACTTTGTCGTCCACGTCGTGCTTCGTTAGATGCTCTGTGGACTTTGGATAGACAGATATAATGGCATTGGGGTTCTCCAACGAGTCCCATTGCGCTATGATCTTCTCGTCCCATTGGGGGATGAAAACCAAGTGGGAATCGATCGTCATGCAGAAATTCTCGTCCGTGATGGCTTTTTCCGTCTCATATCGCGCAGCAGTGGGGCCCTGCGTCGTAACAAACCACAGAGATCCAGTCAGCAGCAGCATCAACGGACCAAACTGGCACCTTCCTCCCATCTCCTTACAGTCGCATTGATAGCGTCAATTTGAGATGACACGATCTGCGAACGGCGGCAGTATGCCTCGCCCACGAGCTCACAGAAGACATCCACGCACTGGTGCTCTTTCTCGGCCGGATAGATCTGATCGTAGACGCTTATTTTGAGGTTGTCGGGTGCCACAGCGTTGTCGAAGATCGAGCGCAACGTCTCCGAGCACCTGCGTCATCGACAGAGCAGCACAAAACACAGTTAAAAATTAGCTACAGTCGAGCACGACTTTATCTGAATTGTAAAGCACGGCGAGGAGACGGACCCAATACCTTGTTGAATCGCGGTAGTTGGCAACCAAGATGATAGTGCTGCGTCCGGTGACGATGGACGGTGGGTCCGTGGGCTCTGGAACGGCCATTACCACCTCCTTGTCCGCGCGAAGGTGGAGACTGCGATCCTCAATCGGGGTGTCTACTGCGGCGCCACTGGCCGCGTATTCCTGCAGGTAGAGGAACTCATAGAGCACCACGACGAGACAAATCGCGGGGAAGACCATGAGCACCGCCACGCGTAGATCCCACCCACTGCCTCGGCGCACATCTCCGCGGGAGCTTACACGGCCGTACGGCTGGTAGCCTGCCTTCATTCGAGCCGTCGAAGTCGGTTGCTTCGTTGTCTTGTCGGTCGACTTTTGTTGGGAGGCTCCGCCACGTCAGTTCTCGTTACAGATTATTTTGACTTTCTCTAATCTGAGCACAAAAAATGTTTTTATCCACTCCGCGCCACATTAAATCACGTACCTACGTCGGTGGCTGTAGCTCACTCAATGTTTAGAGTTTGGGCGTGCTATTTAGATATGTTGTTCCTGTTATCGCACAAAATAGGCTTTTTTTTGCAGTTTTACACCAGGGCTCCAATACAAACAATTGATTTTGGCACTGCGACTTAGAGGAGTAGATGTAAGACTGATGTATTTATAAGTAAGGTTAGCTTGGGCTCCATACAAACTAGAGGTTATGTAACGGGGTACGTAGCCCTAAGTGTACCCTGGTTACATGAAGTGTGACACTTCACACTTCAGGTGTATGACACGTAATACTCCGGGATATTTGGTACAAAGTACCAAGGTCGTTCAACGCCAACCATTGGTCAACGACATTGCATTTCTATAGGTGACATATCGTTTCTATTAAACCCAAACTTAATCTACCTATAAATATACTCAGTTTACAATCTACCTTATTTAGGTCACTTCGCTCTCTTTTAAATAAAAAGGGGACCTGTGAACTGCCGTTCACTGAGAGTTTGTATACTCTCGGAAGATAACTTCCTCTAGCGCAAGGTGCTGTGTGACCCAGTCACACTTGGTAGCACTAGTAGTCAATCCACGCCACCGCGGGTAGACTACCTGAACCTCTCCGAAGTTCGTTGCCATGGATAGGAACGACTTCTCTCATATGAACGACTCTCAGTTCGAGTCGGTTCGGAAGATGGCAGGCATCTTCGGGATGGAGGCCCTGCAGAGCCTGGTGGTGTCAACACCGGCTGAACAGCTCGAGCGCGTCAATGCGTTCGACGCGTACGAGTGTGGTGAAGTGCTTTCTCAGAAATAAGAGAATGGTCCTGACGCGGGGTCACTATCCCGAATCAGTGACAATTTCAAGTGATTATAGAGGATTTGGGTTGTTTGGCACGGGTGCAAGTTGCCTGTGGTGGATTAGCCATGGCGAGCAGCACCCCGTATGGAATGACGATGGATCTGATATGAGCGATGTACGAGAAGGCAAGATCCACCAAGACTTACCTCGGATCCACCCTTACCTGGATTCACTAAGATGGATATGGGATATACTATACAAGAGTGGATCGAGTGCGGATCCTATGAAGGAAGGATGGTCGGTGCTCTCTGACGGTGGATCTAGTAGCCACGGCTAATGAAGAGTCAAGATCCACCGCGAGGTACCCCGGATCCCATACTTCCGAGTTCGTATCCAAGGAGGGAGGATCCCGCCTGGAGGGACCTGGATCCAGGGTATAGGGATGAGGGATACAGTGGATCTCGAACTTTCGTAGGACAACGGAGATCACAGACGGTTGCAAGATGATGTTGGATGATTGGAGAGTTCAGATCCACGGCGAGTGTACCATTACAGTGAGGTGGATCCAAGCGACCTGGATCCGGATGAGTGTACCCATAATAGGGTGACCATGATGATTACGTCATATATCCGGTGGATCTGAAGATAACACAGCTGGGATGATGGGTCAAGGGAAGAAGGGACATGCAGCCGAGCCTGGTAAGGGATTTAGCAGATGAAAGACATAGAAGGTAGAAACCCAGGCAGGTATAGGCTTAAATATCAATACAGACTCCAATTTGCACAGTGACACGCAAGTGCCTTCCTGCCCTCAAGAACCGGAACTACATTGGCCGTACGAGCTCCGAGAAGGTTGGGAATTGCGAATCTAGTGTTGGTAGTGATAACTGGATAATACATTGGCCAGATCCTACAACCTAGTGAGCTTTTCCTTTACTTGTGCAGATCCGACAGGTTAACCGAATTTACTACTTGGTCGGTTACACCCTAGGGGCTCTCAACTCTCAAGATCCCGTCACAGGAGGCGGCAAGTACGACTTAAAGGACAACACAAAGGCAAGGGAACACACCCGCAAGGCAACCCTACGGCCAGATCCACGATCTAGGCCCCGGATCCATAAGCTCGAATATTCGCTTAGGATACGGAACCATCCACGGACGCAGAGTGAAGATTTTCCACTGCTGCTCCACCCCATCCCCACGTCTCGCCAAGACACTCAAGCTTCACCACTTGAACTCTTCGGAAGTTACCGAGAGAGCAAGATCCCGCCCTACCGACGGGTACACAAGGTGAGGAAAGTTCAGCAGAACACG